GGGGCGGTCGGCTCCCACCCCGGGGGGGGGGGGGGGGGGGGGAGCCCCGAGCATGGTGGGGAGGGCAGGAGTGGGGCTGACTCAGTCTTCTGTTGTCCTTTTGTTTTCACTGTAATTTCTGCTCACCTGGTAGGCAATTACAGAGGGCTTATGTGTTAGAGTATCAATTAAAGATTGTGGAGAATTGAGACATTCCCTGTGAAGGTAAATTACTGAATAGTAATAATCCAGTCAGAGCCCACTCTCTCCCTTATTGCCCATGTCTGTCTAAATTGAAGACACAGGAATGCAAGGTACCCCTTTTTTTCTCAGCTCCTGCTGTTTGGGGCACAGTCAAGCTCTGAATAATTCCCATAGTTTGCCCTGTTTAGCACTGATCTAGCTCTCTGTGTGGTGTTGTCCAGAGCACAGCAGGCTCAAGCCTGCTCCATGTACCAGCAGTCCAAGTGGTTTGATGGGAAGTACCATCTTGCCTTGAACTGCAGAAGCACGTTTTGCTAGGCAGTTCCGAAAACCAGGTGCATACCCCCCAGATCTCTAGCATTGGTGGGAACTGGGGCCTTGGGGCAGCCTTGAATTAGCTGTGTAGTAGGGCTGTTCTTCCTTCTAAGGTAGGTCCCGTGGTCTGCTTTGGATTAAGAAAGCCCTGTAAAATTGTCTTTGAGAACAGCAAGATTTCTCTTTTTAAACATGATTTTTGTTAATTTAGCATCCTAGAAGTGTGAACAGCCTTGTGAATACAAATGAGTGTAGCCTTGCAGCATTTCAGGCTGGCATGCAAGATTATTTCCATCTTCCTTTTTCCGAGAAGCTGCTGCGGTATAGAGTCGCCACATACCCTGTCTGTAGCCATAGAATAATAACCTGTTGGAGTCAGGAGTCTGACGCTCAGTGCAAAGCCTTACACGCTAAATGACACATTTCTTAATTTTCAACTGCTCTAATTCTGTCTCTTGGAGGAACCTTTACAGGTACTAAACTGTGTAGTGGGTATTCAAACAGGAAAACCTGATACCTGCAGGTTGGTGCTGGTGCTTGGCCTTGACTCAATAGGATGGTGCTTGACCCATGGAAGCGGCACTGCTTGTATGCTTTAGGTTAGGCATTTTCTTGATTACTTTTCTAAACTGGATGCTAAGAGCTGTTCTTCATAATGTCACTTTAAATATGTTCCGTGTATATCAGCTTTGCAGACCTGTAAGTTACCAGTAAACAGATTTATTTTAAAGGCACTGCTAAAGGAATTACAATGAGCTTATTTTTTTTCATTGGGCTGTCTAGATTAGTTTGCCCTGGCTGTCAGCGGAGTGTTTAAGCACCTGGTGTTAATTCAGGATAACTTCATGATGTCATCCTGAGATAAAACAAGTTTTAACTGAAATGAGAGCGAGGGCCATGGTTTCAATATTTACACTGTTGTTTAAAGCAGTGCTCTCACATTTTCTGCTTTCTTGCCTGAGATAAGTGCTCCACAGATCTTCTAGAGAGCAGATTTGACGGAGTTCTTGTTTCAGCTGTCATTCCCTGATTTTTCTCTTAATTGTTAGAGGCTTTTTAGTTTTCTAAGGTAAAATAGAAGTTATTATGTATGTGAGCCCACTTGAACAATGTCTACAGGTTGTAGTATTTTACTGTTTGTGACCTCTGTTGTGATAGTAGAAAATGCATAATCTGTTGAAATTTAGAGTAATCCTTTAAGCTTGGGTCACTGAGAGGTCTGCTGAATGTTTGAGCATGGAAGTCATGTAGCTGATGAAAATACTATGGTAATAACAGAGTAATAGTGTGATTTCCCTCCCTCCCACTCCCTGCAAGGCTAGTTTTTCTCAGATGTGTTGATTTAACAGAAATACTGAAAGTTGATGAGAGCAAGGTTTTTGTGGTTGTTAATAGGGTTTTCTTTTTAACTATTTATTTAGTGTGAGGCGGAGTTATGGTATATAGTTCTTAAATTCATGTACTTGGTTATTATTAATTTTAAAGAAGTCCCAATATATAGAAAAATTTACCCTGAATGGGGGGGGGGGAAATTTACCATGACTGTTTCAGTGCTATCACAGCTTTGGGAATCTTGGAGCTTTCCTAGCAGACATTTGGGGCCATCAGAACTGTCTCTGTCTCAGTGCCATGCTCGCACACCTCTTAAATACAGTTTGTAAATACCCCAGAATTGGGGTCCTTTTCTGATAACAATTTTAAAATTCATTTAATGGAAGCATCTCTGTGCCCACATAAGAACATTTTACAAGTGGCTTAAATCTAACACAATTGAAGTGTGTTTGCTGAGGAATTTTCAATGTTTCACTAAATGGATTTAGAAATAATAGTTAACAGCACAGTCTTCTGTTTAGGCAAGACTTTAATTTCTTATTAGGGACAGAGGGTGCAGCTTGGCTGGCTTTTGACGGGATCGACAGAGCTGTCAAACCCTGTAGAAGTATTTAAATGGAAGAATTTTTGTTAACATGGCAATATTGGGGGTTTTTTCTTTTCCTCTTTTTGACTCCACAAATTTACAAACTATATTATTAGAATAATTGTAAGCTGTGCACAGCAATATTTTGGGTTTTTTCTTTTCCTCTTTTTGACTCCACAAATTTACAAACTATATTATTAGAATAATTAGGTAAGCTGTGTTGCACATCTCTTGTCTTTTTGTATACAATTAATAGTTCAAATTACATACTATTGATTTATTTTAGCATCTAAAATGAAAAGACAACATGAGAAAGTTTTAGAAATATTATTTGCTTCAGTTAGCTCTGTGGAAATCTTTAGGTTGCTTTTGCTGCTTTCTCATTGTATTAATTGTGTCTCTAACATTGCACAGAATGTTTAATTTCCTGGTTTTAGACTAAATGAAAAAATAGAGAAAACAAAAGTGGCAGGACAGTGATCACTAAAGCTTTGATACAGAGGGGTGCTTAGCACCCAGAGATGCTCACAGTGTATGTACTACGATAAATATTGTTGTTCATTAATTTCTAATCACTTCGTGACACTGTCAGTGGAGAGATTGTCTGACATGAGAAATCAGGCAGCAGGAAGGAAAAAACCATGCTGTGCATTTATGCCGTGCCCTGACATGACATATTACAGCCTCACAGAGGCTGACAACAGCACATACACTGGGAGGCCAGGACGACTTCAGTCTGAGCAGATACTTTTCACTGAATTTTGAGTAAATGCTGTATGTAAAGGCAAAAAAAAACCCAACCAAACCTCTCCCCCTCTCGGTTTAGTTGTACAGGAAAGGCTTGTATTAGCAAAAAAATGCTGGTTTGGATCAGAGGCGTGCAACACTTGGAAATGTTCAGTGTGTTTTGTGATGGGCTTGTGTATGTGCAGCTCCCTTAAGAAAGGAATTGCATGGCATCGTTACAACGCCGAGGCTGGAGGTTGCCTTCTAGGTTAGTACTTCCACTTCTTCAGGTATTTCTACCTTATTTCCTCCAGGGCAGCCAATGTATTTGAATCCGTCTGCCAAGTTTTGAAGAAGTTTAAATTCCAATTAAGAATGACAAAGAGCCCTCCAAACTTTCCGGCTTGCATGGCGTGGAGAGCATCTTGAGACACAGCACCGCTTTGCGAGGCAGCAGCAGGCAGCTCGGCGCAGCTGCCGGGTCCCGCCGCTTCCCCGGGCAGTTGTGGAGTGAAAGCAACAAAAATACGTTCAGTCTCACAGCTACTGTTTTAATTCACGATAGCAGCTCTAAACCCATCCAGAGCTGTTTGTTACCCTGTTGTTCCTGAGCTGCAGGCAGGGCAGGAGATGGAGCCGTGCGATGAGGTTACCTTGTGGTGACCAGGACCAGAGCGGTTGTTCGGAGGTGGAGAGGAGGAATCAGGGTGATGTAAGCAGGAGGACTGAGAGAAAATGTGCTTTCTTACGTAAAAAGCCATTCATAAACCTCTGTTTTTATGACTTACCTCAATGAGTTAGGTGTAAATTTTTTTTATAACCTGCAGACAAAATTGATTCTTTAAACTGCAAGAACAGACAGCACTGACTTGTTTGCAATTATGATTGAGTTACTTAAAAAGAAAAGTTTTCCTCAAGGTAACTTGGAGAGGAAGGAGAAGAGCACTGTGATTTGTACTGATTTGTGTTGTACACTAAAAAGTTTGTAATTTTGGGGCAGTGGTGGGTAGCAGGACTTTAAGTCTTCTGCCTGCAGCTAGGGACCAATTAAGGTGACTTAGTCTAAATCTTCTTGGGCATTTCCCATTTGATATATAGCTAATTCTTCTTTACATTTTAGGATGTCATCGGTCAAGTTTTGCCGGATGCAACGACAACAGCATTTGAGTGTAAGTATGACTTGTATAAACTGTCTCCTTTGTCACATTATAGGGCTGTCACTTTTTAAACAAATAATGTTTGCATTCATTATATGTTACAGTTAAATATTTATGCATTAATGCAAGTTTAATGGTGATACTGAACTAAGCAATATTTTATTATTTAATTACATCTTGAATGAGCATATTTCTACAATGTAGCTTTAATTACCAGCATGACCTTACCATGCTCTTATTCCTCACTGCAATTATATTGCTCAAATTAAATGAAAAGTATAAAGTACCTGTAGGTCTAAGTTTAAAATTTTAATCCTCCATTGGAAGAAACCAAAAGAGCAGCAGCTTTTACAGAAATATGGTACAACATACAGATTTTGTACCAAATATAGCAGCATTAGAAGTTAATGTTTCCTTTCACTGGAACAAACGTCTGCTTTTTGCTAGAAGGACTGCTGTGTTTTTAGTTTTCCTTTTTTCCTTCTGCTGGGCTCAAGCTAAATACACCATCTTCCCTGTCTCCTGTGCGAGAGTGGGAGGCGTCAGTAGTTACTCAGCTTCAGCTCCTGGAGGAGGTATGAGAGCTGCAGGAAAATGTCACCTGGTTAGACTTGGGCAGTAGTAATAACTTCTAAAAGGCCGTGTGGGTCTGGTTGAGAAGCTGGGAAAAATAGCTTCTGTGTAGGATCTGGGAAAGATGTAGGTTGGGATTGTCCATAATGGCACTCGCACCTTGTGAAGATGGTTATATTATGCTTTTGCTGAGTTAGGAAAGCTCTCGGTGATTCTTTGTGCAGATTTAGGTCTTTATCTGCTAATACCTGTTTCAGCCCTGTTCTTTGAACCTTGTTCATTTTTCTTTTGGGGGGATTCCTGGGGGATTGTCCTATCTGGAGAGCAGTAACCTGCAAAGGGGAGTCAAACATCTGTGTCTTAGGGGATCAGATACCAAGCTAGAGTTTTCTTCCAAGTGGAGAGGGTACCTGCTATTCCCTTTTAATGTTTGTTATATTTTTTTCTGTGTAACTCTGTTTTCCTTTGATAGAGATGAAATAGCAAGAAGGAGCTGGAGGGGATTAGAAGTGTTACATGAGTTAAGGTAGTGATGCTGAAGGTGAGACAGCAGATATGACAGAATAGGGCCTTGCATTCTTATTAGCATTTTTCCCCTTTTTAGAGCTTTATGGATAATTCTGCATGTAGATAAACAAAGGAAACATTGTTTTATGGTACTTCAAGTACTATTTAGTGCTTTCCATTTTTCTTTTCATATGTTTGTGTCTTCCTTTCCTGAAATACCAGAAACCTAAGAATGGCAATTATGTGTTGCTTCTCTGTAGCCTCGATGTTTCTCCTGCTCCTGCCCTGCTTTTTAAAACAAGACTTTCTAAAGAGACTTCAGCAACACCAGGCTGCAGACCTTGCCATTTTTTTTTATGATTTGTTAATATTTTTTTACATACCTCCCACATCACACATTAGCTTTGTTTGAACTTCATGCACCAGTAGCAGTCGCTGCAATCAGGGCAGTAGCCCATATTAATGGTACCATGTGTAGAACTTTCCTGGAAATACTTATTTCGTTGTGTCTTCTAACATCTGCTTCTGTGCTTTCAGTTCATGTCTCTAGTCTGTCATTTACATCTGCACAAAACCATTTCCCCTGCCATTTAACTGGCATCTAAAATATGTTATGTATATTGATGCCTGATTTTTCTGGTTACTTTTTCCATATCAAATGCCTAGATTTTACCAGCTTAAGCTTCGTTCTCACCTGCTTCATTGCTTCTTAAGATGCGGATAATTGCCATCCAGTGCAGGCTCCGCTACTGTTTGTTTAGCTATTGTTATCTACAGTGTACCATCCATTGCAGCTCCTACCTGGGGCTGCACTTCTCCTACTGTTGGACCTTTATGTGGATTTCACCATTGTATTACACATCGCTACAAATAAAATCACTAACAACATATGGCCTGTTATGATCCTTTTATCCAAACTCTGCCATTTTGTATATTTGTGACACACTGCAGATTTTGTGAAGATTGCTTCATAATATTTGTTTACCATCTGCTGCACTCTATTTGGTATCTTGCAAGGATTTCTTCCTCCATTTTAAGTGACATTAGCAAAATCCAGCCAGTACGTAGGATTTTTTGGTTCTACTTTTGCTTCCCTAATGTGCTGGAAAATCGTATTGCTGTGCTCTAGGCAAGTAGAGAAGCCTGGAAAATCTTTCTGAACCTATGTGTCATATCTAGCTAGTTTTTGGGCTGTGCCCACTTAAATGTCATGGTAGGATGGCAAAGGATCTCGGCACAGATATGAGGAATATATTTATTTTTCTGGTTTTGCTCTTTACAAGCATTGCCTGGCTATTTTAGATTTGGCTTTTTTAATGCCAGGTAACATTTTCTGCCTTTTCATCAACATATTTTTAATTTATTCCCTTTGTACCACCATCAGGAATTTTGCAGCTCTGAGAACTTCAGAGTTAATTTCTTAATAATTTAAAATGAATAATGTGTAATTTTTTTAAAAATTTTTTTAATAAACATTTTGCAAGTGGGCTCTAAGAGGTTTCCAGCTTTTTTTTTTTCCTATTTTTGGTGGTCCCAGCTTCGTTTGTTTCCTCAAGCCAGGCTTGTTTAACAGCTTTTATCTCTGTATATTCGTCTCTCTCTGTCATGTTTCCCCTCTTCTGCATTTTACTCTGATCCCTTCTGGTTGATGCATGGCATTCGTTGTGTTCACTATTCCAACAGCTGCTTCTTCAGCCTTTCTTACTCCGTTACACACTGTGACTGGGACTTGGGTTTTGGCCAGGTAGCAGTTTTACAACTCCTCCTCCTTTCTGCCTAAAATGTTTCCAGGCAAGGAAGCATTCAGTTTCAACTCGCTAACTCTTCTTAATCTTTTCATCATTCATGACTCGCTGCAGGCTGGTAACCCTAGCAAGTAGTTTTAGCAATCTGGCAGTTCACCAGTTAAATTTCCATGAGACAAGGCTCTTGCAGGACATCGCTGCGCTGTCTTGTTCCTCTTCCAGCTTGCATGTTTCCAGTGTCCCATAGCTCTCTTCTGGTACATTTTTAAAGTGTAATTCTAAGGTTTTTATGTTACTCTTTTTCTTATTATTTCTCTCTTGTTGTTTCTTGTCTCTCTCTTCTGCATTGTTTTGCTTTTTTCATTATAGCCTCAGAATTACCTGCAAGGTTTTCAGAGGCAAAATGAACAAACTCCTTTTCTCGGGTAATTTTAGTTTGTTGACTCGGATCTCTTCCCAGATTCTTGTGCATAACTAGGAGCAAGAGTGAGTTTTCATCTAGGGCCATAATGGCACTTTTTTATGCTGATGTAATACGCAGGGGCTGTGATTGCGGAGAGCACGTGTATCAGTGCACGTGCGGAGAGCACGTCTATAGAGATGGGGACAGACAGACAGACTGCCCCAGCCTCTGCTCGCATCCTGAGCTGGTCAGGAGCAAACCTGCTCTGGTCCCGAAGCAATATAAATGCACTTGCTCATCTCCATGTTCTCACCCTTTAGTTACTAAACAGGTGTCTGAAATATGGTGTGTATGTTGCTCCTTGATTTCCCGGTGCGCGTTAGCTCGGTCAGAGTGCTTTTCTTCTGTAACCATACAGCTTTCTGACCAGCTTGCTTGCAGCTTGGAGCACGGAGCAAACCTGCTCTGGTCCCGAAGCAATATAAATGCACTTGCTCATCTCCATGTTCTCACCCTTTAGTTACTAAACAGGTGTCTGAAATATGGTGTGTATGTTGCTCCTTGATTTCCCGGTGCGCGTTAGCTCGGTCAGAGTGCTTTTCTTCTGTAACCATACAGCTTTCTGACCAGCTTGCTTGTGGCTTGGAGCATGGGCAGAATTGTTCTGGTCTGTCTGTCCTTATGTGTGTGGATGTGTCCTGACACACTGAGCCCCACCAGCTTTCAGGAAGAGGTGGGTGTCTCAGGCCTTTTAAATATCCCAACTCAAATGCGCCTGCGTGTTTGAGATTCCCACAGTAGATGTTTTCTGGCCAAAAAGGCATGTGAATTTGTCAGCCATTCTTTGGTATCAGTTGGATGTTCTGTTACTGTTTTATTTTCAAAGAGCTCCCTCTCCAAAGGGAAAGAACAAATATAAAACTGAGGTATACACCAATGTGCTTTGTGGGTTTTTTGTTTTTGTTTTATAAGTATCTAAGGAAGATATTTAAATTGCAGCAGGCAAAAATTGGAGACAGATCATTAACCCTTCCCTTCTCCCCCAAAGCTAGAGCAATAAAAAGAAATTAACATTTTGTAACTGATTTGGAGGGGAGGGGTCTGTGCCATTTGTCTGGTGACTGGTGCAGCTCTCCCATCAGCGAAAGCGTACGAGCTTTTCGGGAGGACCGGGGCAGGAGAGGAGGACGGGGTGGACGCTGCTCCCATCGGAGTGAAGGAACCGCACGGGGTGTCTCAGCAACTGCGGCTTGTGACATTGGAGCGTGTTGTTGCACCAGCTGGTGCTAATGGGGGGGATTGAGCCCCCTGGTAAATCTGCACCTGCTGAATCCCGCCATATGTCTTTAGAAAGTCTATTCCTCCTTCAGATCTTCATATTAATAATTCCTTCTGAATGCCTTGCTCTGCCGGAGCCTTCCTGAATCTTGCTCCCTTTCCTCTGGTTCTGTTTCTACAGCAGCCTCTTTCCTTATGCCAGAAGTGCCTTGTCTGTGCATTTGTGGCTGTGCCTGAGCTGTCATCGTGAAACCGTGATTGCCTGGTAATGCTGCTCCTGCCTCTTGCCTCGTCTTCACCCACAGTTGCACTACGAACAAAAACACAGACTGGTTTTGATTGTTCACAAACTTCTGTCTTCATCTAAATCTCTCTGTGTAAACATTGCGGATTTGTGTCCACTTGTAAGTTACAGTTTTTAAGTCAGCATTGCTGTGACATGAAGAAGCAGAGATACCCGTGCACTTGTAACGGGGATGGGGGCAGAGGGGTGGGAGGAACTTGACACGGGGCAGGTGGGTTGAGGTAGGGTTGACAGTAAGACCAGAAGGTTTTAGTGGGAGGGAAAGCATTTAAATGTGGTTTTTTCTTTTTTTAAGTGTAGTAATTAACTTCTGATGAAAGAAACTGCCAAAACTTAAGTCCACCTGGGGGGATTGAAGCACACTTGGAAAGTTTACTTTCTGTTCGCTGTGTCAAAAGAATACCTTGATGGGTTTCAGCGAGGGGTATTACAGCATGTGTAAGGCGCTCAGCTTCTGGAGAGGTTCTGGCAGTAAAAGAACTGTTGAGAGCAAAGTTTTGAGCACTTTGTTCATGCCCCTTTTTTAGATGTAATTTTAGTCTTTGTTAATTAATGTTTGGAGACATTACACATTATTATTTCAGAGTACCTGGCTACCTGTGTAGGTAGTTGGTTTATACATTCTTTGTATTTTTATTTGCTTCTAAAAGTCCTGGTAAAAACCTTACACATTAAAATCGTAAATATCCTTCTTCCATTGTTCACAAATGTAATATGTTTCTTTGTTAGATGAAGATGAGGATGGTGATCGGATTACTGTTAGAAGTGATGAAGAAATGAAAGCCATGCTATCCTATGTAGGTATAGTATAACAAATGCTGATACTTTCCGTGTTTTCCAGTTTCTGTTTGTGTATTTTTGCTTGTATCAAAGTGTTAATGTAAGCTGCAGTGTTCACAGTACAATATTCCTGTGTTAAGGTCACAGTACAATATTCCTGTATTAAGTGTAGGTGTTTGAAAACTCTATCACATGAGATATATGGACATGCTTGACTTTTTAAAAAAAAAGACTAGTACACTTACTGATCATATCATAAACATTAAGAATAATGCATCTTAATGACTTTTGCATTAGGTATAGTGCAGGCTAAATGGACTATCAATTTCTTGTATTTTTTATGCAGTACTTAAAGTAACGGCTCATTAAAAATGAACCCCTGGGCTCTAAAAATTTTTCAAAATCTACTTTCATCTGGAGACTGTTTCACCCCTCCTAACAGAAGAGTTTCATTGTAGCTGCAGGCTCAATATTCATAGAGGATTTAAGGACGTATTTTCTGTTTTTTAGTATGAGATACATGTGTGTCTGTGTGTGCCTTTATACATAGATGTGTGTAAAATCTCTATCTAGACACCTATAAATATAAAATCTGTCTACAGAAATAAAGTATTCGGTTACTTACTGAAACAAAATAATTTGAATATAGCTTCGGTGTGTCTTTCATGTTGCAGATGTAAGTGAAAAAAATCATTTAACATTTTCTCGCTTATCAGTTTCATTTGAAAGGAAATAAATGGGTATTTTCTCGCTAAGCCAGACGGACTGCTAGTTCCTTAAAAGTGCACTTCTTGCTACATTAATGGCCTTAACTTGGAACATATCAGAAGCAAGCCCTGTTTAGTACCATTCGTAGGTGGTTTTGGTGGGACTTGGTTCAGTTTAGTCCTCATCATCAGTTCCCTGTTGCAGAGGAGGCAAAGCAGGGACATGCTTGGATCACCTACATCTTACCTGAGTCTCTTAATGGATCCTTCTTGGGCACTCTCTAGTGTTTGGCAAAACAATGCAGTTCCGTTGTTGTGAACGTAGCACGTAAATACATCAAATAATCGATGTTTCCTATGAAGGAGGCTCATGTTTTCTAGGCTTCAGGAGGGCTTCCTCAGTGAAATTCTGATCCTTTTGATATCTGCAGAGATTGTACTATTTCTTGCCTTGCGAAGGCTGGGGTGGACGTTCGTTGACTGGAAGTCTGCTAGCAGACCCTGGTTCAAAGAGACTTTAGTCATTGCCCATGACTTAATCCTGGGGTGAAAGAAGTGCAGGTTCCAGATGCTGTTGATTGATCTCTGTGAAACTCAAGGGATTTCTTAAATAAGTCCCTCTCGTGCAGTTTTCTTTCCAGAGGAGGTGAAACCATTGTATTACAAGTTTGATATTAAAAAGCGTAAGACAGTTGTGTGAAAGAAAGGAAGAAAAATCTTGCTGCAGTCAAGGGGGTTTTGTGCTTGTTTGAGGGGTTTTCTTGTTTTGTTTCATACAGCTAGATCGCTGGTGATGCTTCCCCACTGGAATTCCTTGTGTTTCTCAATTTTCACTTCCCCCCCCTTATAAAATGTCTGCCATTTTAGCTGTTAAACTGGAAAACTTGAATTGTCCTGGCACAGTCTTAAGATTAATCACGCCTTTGTAAGGTCATCTTTTTGCTATGCTTCCAAGCTTACTGTTAAAGTTTCAGTACATTAGAGTTATGATTGCTCAACTCTCTGCTTTCCCTTAAAAATTATGGGATGTCTGTAAATGACTTCTTTCCGATTCAGCAGCTTTTCTTCTCTGAACATTTTCCCTTCAGTTTTAAACTAGTTTTCTGTTTGAGTGTTGCATTGATGGTTTAACTTTCAAACATCCTATAGGTGTCATTTTGGGATATGTTTATGAGAAAACAAATGCTCTTAGCCTACAAGAAAAGGAATGAATCTACTGTGATCTTGGAGAATATACTGGGGAAGAAAAATACTCATTTTTGAGTATTTTGAGGCCGGCAACAAATATTTGGATGATTGAACAGCTGCTAAAATATTTCTAGGAATTTTGACATGGTGCAGTTTGCCTCCAGTTCTGTGAGTATTCTCCAAAATGAAAGTGAAGGTTTTTCTTTCAGTTTAAGAATAAAAAAATTATTCCCTGATAATACAGATCTCTTCAGTGCAGGTATGACAGTATAATTGGGGAAGATGTTTTAAATCATGCATGACCTCTTATCTTTAGGTTCTTTGGTTTCTGAACTTGGCAGTAAGTTATTTTGGGCAGCTCTGGAATTATCTTAGAGTATGCAGAAATACTTTGTATTATGCCTATGCAAATATTGTGGAATGGTAAATAAAATTATTTTTCTGTTGTGCGTTGCAGTTAATTAAAGACAAACATTGAGTAGCAGTGGAGTTGCACTTTAGCTGTTGTCTTGTATCGGTATAAAAAGGCAGTAATTTTTTTGACAGCCACTGATTGGAAAGTTGCTTGCAGCTTTCTGAAAGCAAGGGGTACATGCTCTGGATCAATAACTGGCAAATTTTCCATTAAAAAGAATACCTGAACAACGTTCCAAATAGCCACTGGCATCTTAATTTTCCATGGAAACCTCAAATGCTCATGTGTGGAGGACAAGTCATTTTCAGACAATTTTTCCAGACTACTTGTTAACAGTTATTGCTGTCCCAAAAGGTTGACAGCTTACATGATTGATATTTCATTTACTTGTCTTCACTGTTTGAGTAATGGAGAGGGCTGTGGGTTTTTTTTTCTTTCTCTCCCTCTATTTTTTTTTTGGTAGGAAACAGCCTCATGTATGTTTATTTTAGTTTATTATTCTAGAGAGTATGTAATATATGTTTATACTGTGTATATATATGTCTTCAGGTCATAGAATGCCACTAATAAAATGGTAATTAAAAAGTTTGTTTTTTCTTAAGCAATTTTGGCCCCCAGTGGAGCAGGAGATTCTTTCACAGCTCCGTAACTATTAGGTACTGGTGACACGTTTTTATGAAGGGATATGGGGACGTGGGGGAGGATTTGGCATGTGTTATTCATGACCCCCCTGAAACAAAATAAGTCTATGGGGTAGTCCTGACTCCTGAAAAACCTCTTGATCATTTCAAAAGAGTGGGCTTTTGTAATGAATAGCTTTGCTCTGTATAAGCACAGCGAAAGCACGTGTCACGCGGTTATTTAAGATGTAGATTTATGTTTGTGCACTAATATGAATTAGATGCCCCGCTCAAAAATCTTGTGGTGAGATTTTAATGAGGGAAATGCTTTTAGCAGCAGGCATCGTACTAGATGTACACACAGGAGGTGGGGCTGGACGGATCCTTAAACTCTCAGCAATTCTCTTCATAATAGCTTTTTCACAAAAAGGAAATTTCTTCCTATTTCTTGACATGAATGTGAAAAACAGAAGCACTGAAACTTCTGCAGACAAATTGACTTTGTCCATCTAACATTTGCTTACTATAGTTCACATGTTTAACCCCATTGTAAGAGGAAAGAAAATGTTTTGTAACATTAGGTAGTTAATAAACTTTTGTCTTTTTTAAGTTGCATAAGTAAAAAAAGCTTGCGTTATGGAAAACCATTGGTGTGAGTGAAATACATGTGTTTGATTTCATAGAGACTTAGAATTTTTTTCTTGTTGACATCCATTCTTGCCAGTTTGAGTAATAGTATCACAAAACACTGGTAACAGTGACACGCTGAAGTCTTAGACCACACTCGGCTGGTGAGAATTAGCATGAAAGTCAGTGGAGCTACACTGATTTATGCCATGAAGATCTGGCCCACAGCCAGCGTGTTTGCTTCAAAGATGTTAGGTGGTTGCAAAAGAAACGTGCTTTGTGATGTGCTTTCAATATTTAACACATCGTGATGAGAGATGTGTGGGTTATAGACAGTAAACTCATAGCAAGGTCTGTCTCCTGCCTCAGGATTGTCTGGTCGTAATGTTAAATGTCCTGTCTGGTGAGTGTTCGCTGTTCCTCAGGAGTGAGGGTCAATTGAAAAGGGCTAGTAAAGATTTTGATTTATTTAATCCAGATGTTTATTTCTTCATTTAATGCCACTTCTCATCCTCGTGCCGCTTCTCAGGCTTCCTCATACCACATTACATATTTTCTGTCTTCTTAGGTCTTGATGTTCAGATACTTTTACTGTTCCTTTTTGTCCCTTCTTAGCCTTTCTGTACCAATAAACTTCCCCTCGCCCCCCAAGACCACTCTTAGCAGTCCCTGTAGAGCCCAAGTGCTGTGGTCCAAGGTCTCGGTATGTCTGCGGTGGCTTTCTAATAACGCTGTGCTGCATACCCTGCTGTGCATTAAATTTGTACGCTAAGGGAATGCACGACATCCCCACTTACGTGGGATGTGGCCCCAACTGCCCTGACTGTGCTTTAGCATTGCAAATTCTTGGATAGTTTCCAGATTCATTTCTCCCTTGGAGTTTTCCTGATTGCACAGTTTTTGACTATATTTACAGTGTTTCTTTGTTTCCACATTTGACTGGTTTTCCTGGCTTCTCCAGGTGTGGCAACTGCTGTGTTTGCTGTAAACGTTTCATTTGCTCACTCTTCTGAAGCATTCCCAGGTTTCAGGTGGGCCTGAAACTCGCTTAGCTGCGCCAGTAACAGATCCCTGTGCTGGAGTCAGTACTGTGCTGGGCATCGCAGCCCCTTGCTTATGTTCCTCCGTTGCCGCTTTATTGTGTGAACATTGCAAATGGTAAGAAAGCATTCTAAAGGCTGATACGTACTATGGCAATTTATTAAAAAAACCCCAAACACTGAATTAAACAATCCATAAATGCTCTTACTACTATTCATACATTACTAATTAATCTCTTTCTTTAATCTCTCTGCAGTATTACTCCACTGTAATGGAACAGCAAGTAAATGGACAGTTAATAGAGCCTCTACAGATATATCCAAGAGGTAATGCTCAACAAATTCTAATCAACAATGATGATATCAGTAAGCTGTTTCATCAACAGTTATGTTTTCGGGAGGTTTAAATGCACATAACATGATGTTTACCTCTTAATTTGGATAGAAGAATTCATTATTGTGGGGAGTGTAGTGAAAGCTACATTTATTGCATATAAAATAGCTAATTTGCTGGAGTAAATTAGACTAACAAGATTCAGTTTGCATTGTACATATTTATGTACATTTAAAAAACTCATTGGTGATGGTTCTGCATGTATTCAAACCAAAGCAGATGAATAACTTAAGTTTTGGATACTTACAAAAATTGGGTTTTGTTAAGATCTTTTAATATCATTAATCAGTCTAACAGACTTGGGGAATGTGACTGTCATTGTTCATTTTGAAAATGGGAACATGTCTGTCACGGAAGCTCTATGCGTGACATATTTTATTTGAGATTTGGGCACTTAGAGATATCAAAATGATCACTAGTACTTTAATAGTTCTCCTGAACAGGGAAAGATGTAATCAATTATGTGGGCTGAGGCAATTAAAAAATAGGTCATCTACATCCTGAACAAAAATCCGTAGGCAGCTAGTTAGGTTTTTGGGAATGCGCTGCTCTTTCTGAACTCAAATAATGGTTAAAAAAAGACTAATACATTACATAATTCCGCTGATTCATTCAGATGCTCTCACTATCCAGTCTTTGAATCTCTGATTCTTAATTGATGAAACAGATAAGGTTTAAACTCTCCAAGTAAATCTCCCAGCAATAAATTAATTGAAATAATTAAAAATTAAACTCTTCTCACTTAACTGATATTATACAAATAATCATACTATGAGTTTCCCAATTAAACATTCTAGACTTCCATTAGTTACAACTCTCTGAAGTTTGAATTGGGCAATTAACCAACAGTCTTCTCAAACACATGCTAATAAGGTCTCAAAAGGAGGCTGGGTTTCCTGGTAGTTTAGTATGCTCGTATGGAAGAGACTTGAATTCAAGGGGAATACGGAGATTTTTTTTATTGCTCAGGCTAGCAGGATCTGATTGAGAGGGAATATCTCCCAGATATTCGAGCTGTGGGACTCCAGAGCAATCAGCAGTCGAGATGCGTTCTCATGAGACGAGTGCAAGGACAGCTATGAAGGGGGAAGCTGTGTTCTGCCCCCTTGCCTCTTCCCAGGCTGAGATGCAAGGGTCTCAGCCTTTCTCCTGAACCTCTTTCTGTAGAAGGCCATTTAATTACTGACATACACTTTGTCTAAAAACGCTGACCATCACTTGCAAGAAATAAAATGCCAGGCTTTCATGTGGCTTGGAGAAACTGATATAGCGGATGATCCTAGTAGGTGGGAAACCCTTCTTGGAAATACAAGATATATTTCCCCTTAAGCAAACAGTTCAAGGAAGTTGTGGCAGGAGGTGCTCAGTAGCTGGCATGCCTGAGTGTTTAAAGGGACATTTTGAGGTTACAAATCAGGCTTAACCTTCTTTTAGAGTCTCCTTTTGGGTCGTTCCTGAAGAACCAGCCACGTAGATTCCTTCCTCTGCTGCTTTCTCCTTTTTCTATTTCCTTTACATCCAAGGATAATCTTCTTTGACTGTACAGATTCAGAATTCATCTCCATGCTGCTGAGGATATAATCCCCGTGTATTATCTCCACATTTTCACCGTTGGCTCAACTGTGCACGTGTCTGCTGGGTATTTCCTTGTAGGTGGCTTGCCCCTTACTCTGAATTGCTTCAGAGCAGAGTTGCTGTTTCATCTTTCCAAATCGCCTTCTTAAAACATCTGTTCTTTCTAGGTTACAGCTTTAAAGCTACCCTGTGTTCCCTTCATACCTTCATATACTGCCTCTAAGTTCTGCTGCCACTTTTCTGCAGTATCGAACAAAATGCACTTTCCTGCGTGTTTTTTCTCCTGTCTTCTGGCATTTAAAGTTCTAGTCCTGTCTCTCTAATGAACATCCCAAATTTTGTTAGCACAAGCACTTTTCTTTCATGCCCTTTTGGCCGTGTCTCTCTACGTACTGCAGTTTAAAGCCCCATCAGTAACATGCAGCTCTTCTGCCTGTAATTTAAGGTTCTCTCTTTTTAAGAGCTTCCTTTGCAAGCCCAATCTTCCTTTGAGTCCTTTTCCATTTTTTGCTTCTCTTACTTCTGAGGAAGCCTCCCAGCTGCTGTCTCCAGTCAGCTTCCGAAAACTCGTGTCTTCCATAAAGCCTGCCAGTAGTAAATGTCCATGTGCCATCCTGTGTTACCTTGGCTGTGCTGTATTCATTTGATAATTTAAAGGTCTTTAAGGGGAAAAAATGGTATTTTGTCTATTTTTTTTAAAAAATGCATTGTTGCTGTCTAGGTAGTAAGAGCCAGAGTTCTTTTTTTGTACTGGAAATAAACCTCTCTGTGCATATACATAAACAAGAGAGTGTATGCATACCTGCACACATATACATATCCTGTCTATGTTATCTATGTGTATACATATCCCATCTGTGGAATGCAAGGTGAATATACGATTCAAATATATATCTCATAAAAAAATATTATTCTTTTAATATCTTGTTGAAAATGTTGATTTTAATCTATTGGAAAAAACATAATATGCCTATTACTGTTTTCTGGTTTTTTATGCCCACAACATCATAATATTTTTCTTCTATAAGATGCACATTCTAATGTCATTTAAAGGCACATGGCCTGGCCCTAACTGATGTGTTTAATAACTATCATCTGTGTCCTTCTGACTAATAAATAGTTCTGTTTCCTGCCGTCAAAAATTGAAGCAAAATGCATGTGCATCAAAGAAAGAGAAAAATCAAATTCATCCCTCCTCAGACAATCAATCAAAAGTGACAGGCCCTTTAACATACAATTTGTAGGGCACTGTAGTTTTAAAATGGGAACTGTCTGTAACATGTAGCTAGAAGCCTTTGTGACTTTAACATTTGACAAAAGCACATCCACCGAATGGAAGAACACGGCAATGTATAGTTCGAGAGACTTTAGGAAAATACTTTCTCCTCAAGCAGCATGTCCCTCTGTAAACCTAGACATCATAATAAGATGCCACATTTGTACATCTGTGTCCAAAATGTGGCATTTTGTATTGCATTTATCCAGTATTTGGCTTCTTGAGACTCACTGCTGTTGCCCCTGACATGTTTTTTCCACATTTAAAACAAACTGTCTGCATTTGACAATATGACTAATTCATGATGTGTGGCAGCTGATTCCTTTAAAATACGGCTTGCAAATATTTCTGTTAAATGCCAGAAAAAATACAGCATGTGAAAATATAGTGACATAAGATATTGATTTTAATTTGAATTACAAAAAGAATCTGATAATTTAAGCCACCAGTTCTCTTGATTTTGATGTGTTTTAGGCAGAAATTAGAATTTATATTACATGGTGTCAGAAAGCTCTTAGCATTTATAAATGCTCACTCCTGCAAGTTAAAAATCCTGGTTCATAATTCCCACTCTGGGTCTTGTGAGGCACTTTTCAATCATTTCTCTCTGCTAATTTTGGTGTCACCCTCATTTCTTTTTAAAAGATTCATTTTGAGCAAATTTGTAAATGGCCCTGATGTGTTCTACAATTTAGTCAATTACTGTTTCAGCCTGCAAGCCTCCTGGGAAACGGAACATACATGGCCTGAAGGTACGAATTTCAATAATTGTTTCAGTAAAGTTAGATGGATTTGTAATGCTGTGTTCCACTTATTGAAATGTCAAATAAAACTGCACTTTCTTGAGCTCTGACAAGCAGATTTTTTTAAAATTTTTTTTTTGTGAGGATGGGAGAAGGATTCATCTGCTGGTGTTGGCTGCGATATCTATATATACAGTTTTATTAAAAATAGAATTGCCTTTCTTTTTGTTTTTAACCTCTGTTAATAAGGTTCCTAAATTTTAATATTGTTTATCAACTAATGTCTGCTACTACTTCAAACAGAGTTTAAAAAAAAAACAAACAAACCCTACCATATTAATTTGATTTCAGTAATTTATCTAAGTGTGGAAGACACTGCAATGAAATTCTTTTAGGTTGTTTGATTCATTCAGGTATGGTTATTGCTTCTGCAATCATACCCATTTTGAAATGCAGAAGACTACAAATACATTAAATGATTGTTTAGTTTTTAAAATGAGAATAAATGATGGACATATCTCTTTTTTTTCTGTATTATTAAACTAAGCATTTGAGATGTAAAGATAGTATATTGTAGTCCATGAATTATATAGCCTGCTAACCTACATACAGGCAAGACCTCAACCATCAGCATGCCTAGCAACAAGCTAATTAACCTTCGTAGTGAAATGAGAAATTCATGGCAAATTACAGGTTAATTAGAATAGTGTCCTCTGAACACAAACGACTGATAAAGATTCTTTCCCTGCCTGCAGGTAAATACGCGAGCAGGGTCTGCTAATAATAGCAGTTCGGCAGTCTCGGATTCCCTTCCAAGCAATAGGTAAGAGTCAAGAGCAGGAGCATATGTTTTATTTTGTTTTCTTTTATTAAAACAAAATGGAACCTTGTGTGCGGTAGTTACCAACGATAAGCTTGATGTTGAATAACTTTTTCAATATGACTACTGGGCACGCAGGAGTGAAGTGGGGAAGACGAAATTACCTTGATTCATGGATCTTGTTAGACTCGTACTGCTGGTTCTTCAGGAGAATTATTTTCTGCCGAAAGAAATAAGCCTTTGCTGGGTTTTTCAGATGGCTTTGTCCTTTATAAAGCATTGAAATACTGTTTATGGGTGAGCTAATTTGTTTTAGTTGATCTAATAATCACTGTCTATGGCAAGGTCTGTACGTTCAGGTCTTCGTTGCTTATCTCATTCCAGGATTCTTTGATTCTAAATATCTCATTCCAGGATTCTTTGGTTCTAAAATTTGATATCCAATTCAGTAGGTTTATTATTGTGGGGTAAGGTTTTTGAAAAATCTGAACAGCTTAGGTGCCCTGTTTCATACAGTTTCAGCAAAGTTTTGGATGCCATCTCCCTTATCTTTCTCTTTAGATTCCAGTCCTAATTTCAAAACCCATCTTAAGATCTTAAAATGCAAGAGAACTCTCTTTTTTCCTAGAGATCTGTTTTTAAATGCGGGAGCATAAAATCCCTTTTATTACATGAACTGTTACAGGAAGGTGTTCTACTCCATACTGATGTTAAAACAAACAAACAAACAAAAAAACCCACAAAAAACCTTGTGTGTTCTTAAAAGGAAGTAAGAAAAGTCTGGTTCCATCCTCTTCATATAAAAGCATATTTGAAATGTGGGAATAGAAATCTCTGGAGGTCCCTTTCAACCTAAATTATTCTATTATTCTAATAAGCATACAGTATTACATTTATCTGTGCATCAGCATGCTGCTCCCTTTTCTCTCCGAGAGCATTTTGAGGAAAAAATTGACAGAGATGAACATGATCAAAGACACAATCATATTGCATTAAGCACGTTCAGTTGGTGAAGTGTTGGTACCCGTTCTGACAGACACCGCGAAGTGCTGCAGTGGTGGGACCGTCCCACAAACCTTGTCTTTGCGTGGTGGGAGTGATGTGATGTGGTTACCTGTTGACGAGGAGGATGCCACCCCATATGGTTGGCAGCAGTGCTGGAGTTGTGCTACAGTGGGTAGCCGCATTCAAGTACCACTAAAACCAGTTTTGATGCTCCCTTTAGTGGCTTTGCTAATTGTAGAGATAAAAAAAGAAAGCCAGTACCCTGTGTCAGTCTCCTCTGGCAAAGTTTGCCCCCATCCCTTGGGGAAGATTTGCTGTGTATTGCAGTGGTGAAGATCCTATCCAAGACTCTTTAAAGAAAATAAATCTGAATGTCTTTATGAACTGCAGTCCTCCTCCCAATCTATCATAGCACTGAACTAAATAAAGCTGCTTTCTGCCGCTGTTGTGCTTTGGCTTTCAGTACTTCTGTACTTTGAGCTTGTTCTTAAAGTGCATTGAAAATGAGGCTTCTAGAAGATTCTTGTCACCTTATTTGGTGGTTAATTGCCATTCCTTTTCCGAAACCTTCTGCACTATGAGTTTTGTTTTTGAAGTAATTGAAAGTCTCTCTTTGTTTCATGTTCACAAATTGTTAGTCATGAAAGATGACAAGATCAACTTATGTTTCCTTGGAAAACTTAATTTTTCTTTAAAGTATTCGTGGGAACAAGAGGCCTATTAAAGAACAAAGCCACCAAATATGAAATCTGTGTTTTCACTGTTCTTGTTAATAATGATCTGTGATCAAGACACGTGCACATGCCTTTCAAGAATATATTATTTTGTACTTTTTTTTTAACTTCAGTAATAAGAGCAGAATGTCTCTTTGAGATGAAGTTTTGCAGGCATACTTCTACCCAGGCAGTTTGTTGTGTTGAACGTACAAGGAACAGAGTTTGTCAGGAAAGGAGGTGAAGCGGTGTTTTGCAAGTGGGTGGAAGTAGTTTGAAGCCATTAATAGTTTTACCTACAAAACACACCAAGCTGATAGTTGTAATTGGTTAAAGTTCTCTTACTAGAAAAAAAGTAATATGGGGCGTTTTGCCTAATGTAAGACTACTGACACAGGAGTAGTTTCTCCTGAAAAAGCACAGGGACTGCAGCAGCAAGCTGCCTTGGAATGGATGCACATGGCAGTCTGGACTCACCCCCCTCAATTTAGGCATGTCCCTGAGATGCCTAAATCAGGAGTTGCACTCACCTGCTCACCATGCTCCAATCTGCAGTCAGGTGAGGTAGTGAGGCATCATCAATGGCACACCCTTCTGCTGCAGATTTATAGAGATTATTGAGGGATAATGCCTTAAGGGGTTTTAAAACAAGATGAGGCACCTGAAAACTAGATGTGACCCTTATTTTCATGTTGTTTTTTGAAACACCTGGTGTGTGAGAGTATCTTTTTTTCTTCTTTGAACTGACAAACCATAGGTTGTATCTCAAAGGGTTGTATAGTCAGGTATCTAAAAAAGCTAGTTTGTAAAGGTGAAAAATATATTGATTTTCTTAAATGTTCATTGCTTCTCCATTTCTGCTGTCTGCAGTTTGAGGAGTAGCTATAGTGAACATCAGTCAGCATTGCTAAAGTTAAATCTGTTCAGAATATGCAACCATGAACTTAACCTGATGGCTTGTTGTTTCTTATGGTTTCACTTCATTTTATAGAGTGAAATAGCACAGTTGTTAAAAATAATTGCCTTTTATTTTCAGCTTAAAAAAGTCTTCTGCAGAGCTGAAGAAAATACTTGCAAATGGTCAGGTAGGTGTACTGAATTGAGTCTTGGCTACATGCATGTCTCGTTACTGCCTAATACTGCAGTGATTGGCATACCACAAATAGGTGGAGAGATGCTTACTGCTCATTTAGTTGTAATGTGTTCTTTTAATACAGAACTGGAGGAACCATGAAAACCTTCATGATATGAATGAGTTATGTGTCCTGGTTTACTTTGATTGGCATAGCAATTTGCTTCCCATTTCTCAAAATGTGCTAATCTGATTTAGCTCCAGATAGATTGAAGTACCTCACACATGTTGCGCTGCTGACACAATTTCAGGGAAGTTAATCAATTTTGAATAACTAAGTCAACTGCTCAGTTAGAATGACCTTCGTCTTTTTTAGGGCAGTAGATGCTTAAATATTTAGCAGGTTCTTGCAAGGAACTGCTCTGTAATATTGGGACTCACCTTATGTTGTAGCTGCTTTCCAGATAGATTGAAGTACCTCACACATGTTGCGCTGCTGACACAATTTCAGGGAAGTTAATCAATTTTGAATAACTAAGTCAACTGCTCAGTTAGAATGACCTTCGTCTTTTTTAGGGCAGTAGATGCTTAAATATTTAGCAGGTTCTTGCAAGGAACTGCTCTGTAATATTTGGACTCACCTTATGTTGTAGCTGCTTAAAAAAACAAAAAAACCCAACCACAAAAAAACCCTAAAACAAAAAAAAAACCCAAACCCAAAGTTGTAGAAAGCTGTCTTGTTACTTTCTCTTCCTGCTCCAGGCATTCAGATTCTGGCACCCAGAAGTGAAAGGTTTAATGTAACAATTGATGGACAAGTGGATGTCCTGGACAAACAGAGCAATCATTTCTCACCCATTTTGAGCTGAACGTATGGGCAGGCTTGCAGTAGCATAATGACATTAAATATACACCGTTAAATTAAACTACCTTAAAAGAATCCCAGATTCTTCAGCAGCAACATAAGTATGTTTTAATGTTTGTCATAGTGAAAGCCCTTTGATAGCCTTGGAGGCAGGCACCTGTCCATTGCGATCAAGCTTGCCTATTAGGCTCTATTGACTGAGACATCTGTGTCACTGCAAATAAAAGACTCTTATTGATTTTCTTAACTGCTGTTCACTTCCCCTCCATGTTTCGAAGGCTGAAATCTTAATTATCTCAGATGCGTATTCAGTGCCTTCACACAATGACCTCTCCAAGCCTCATTGGCATTTCATGAATCAAGTAGTTGTAGTTGAGCGTGTCAAGAAGATAAAGGCAGGTCTTCATGCTTGTCCTTCAGTATCACCTGTAACATTGTGGTCTAATAGATGAGAGTGCCCCTCTAAAATGTGAGTCGAACAGCCCACTATTGCAGCCTTGCCTCTTTGGCACTGAATCCTTTGAATACAGCTTCAAAATGTATTTTTAAGCTTGTCAGCGTTCCTTACGTGCAGACATAGTATAGTTCTAATATTCACAGATTCCTACCAGGCAGATTTGTTAATGTTTCAAAATTGTAGCTTAAAAATATATTTCTCTGGATAACTTAAAATTATGTAAATACCAGCAGCATGCTTCTGAACTTTTAAAATGAAGTTGATAATTACTTCAATATTACTAATTTTTTTTAAGTAGACTTACTGAGTGTGAGTAAAAGCCATCTTTTTGTGATTGAGTCCGTAAGCTGTATTTTGCATTTTATTTATTCTAAGTAATAGGAATGAGTATTTTGTGTGCCCTGCAGTAGATTGTTACAGATTTCTTTCCTGCGTAGTAGAATTTTAGAAAGATACAAAGGAACCAAAACTCTTATTATGATATTAAAAAATGTTACTTAAACCCATTAAAAAAAAAAGAAAAAGGAAATTTTGATACTACCTTTTAGTCACACTGCTCTGATAGGAGTTACACTGCTTTCTGTCGAGAGAAAATGCTTTTTGTTATGCTGCATTGTGTTCTGCAAATTTGGTCACAGATCCGTAACTGGAGATAGGTTTCTAGTCATAACTTTAACTTTTCCTCCTTTTGGGGGATGAAGTCACACTTATCATTACTTAAATATGGGTTGGGTTATTATTTTTTATTATTTTTTGGCAGTTTATGCTTTCAGGCATTCATAATGATATTCCTCTAGTAGTTTCCATTTAGGTTTACTAAGGAATTCATATTAATCATTAAAAGAAGGGGACATGATTCTTCAAGATAATCAAATATTGACAGGTTAGAAATAGCTTTCTGCCTAGGTTCATTGATATAGGTGATGTGATATAAATATTTATTTCTTTTCTGTCACTCAGAGTAAATGCCACCAATTGATTCAGCATTGATATAGTGTCAACAGTTCATAAGAAACATTTGACTGGCTTGTGTTTTCCGATTAGTCTCTGCTCTATAAAGTGGGATTTACTAAATCTCTTCAATTGTCTGCTCATAGAGTGTGACTGCTTTCTGAAACCATTATTGCTTCGATTCGTAAAGCAAAGGTATGGCTATAGGACTTTGCCTCTGTCAGGCCTCTACATATAAAATAAGGATTAATTGAGCATTTTGTTTTTAATGATTTACAAGAGATAGACACTGATTTCTTTCAAAAACAGCAGGTATAAGCAAGGGATGTTTTGTTTGCTGATCCATAATTGAAGTCTGTTTTGCTTTTTCATTAATTCTGTTAATATTGGCATCCGATCAAACTTGGCTTTGCAGGTTTAATATTCCACTCCATACTGTCGAGTTCGTTGTTATTATGCTATCATTTTATGATTGAGAATCCAGTTTTCCCAGTAAAATAAATAAATCACCACATGTTTTTGGCATCTTTATTTGAGCCAGTAAATCACACTTTATCTCTCTATCGGTTGCTGGCAGATACTTGCTCCACCCCAGTCTTCCTATTTCACCCGGGGTTTCTGGTTGCTCTTTGTGCCTAGAGACAAGAAGTGGTGCTGGGCTGGCAGCGGGTGCGAGTGGTGCAGCATCGCAGTACGGCACTGCTCCTATCACTGGCTTTTAGGGAATGGTGTGAAGAAAGTACTCTCCTTTTACCAGTTAGCAAAAAGCAGGAGGAAAGAGAATACGCTTTACGTCTCTGGTTCTGCTCAATTTGTTGCTTATAACTTGTGTAACTACAAAAAAATTATTCTTTTTTCCCCACAAGAAGCAAAGATACAAGTATGCTCGGAGCTTTGTGGATTCATTTGATTCCTCTTAAGAGTTTTGTGTGTAAGAACGTTGCTGGGAATATAGGAAAGAGATGTTTGTTGTTACCTCAAAGACTGGAGAACTAAAGTCCTCCGGATTAGGAGAGCAGAACTCCTTAAACACAGTTTATGCTTTAAATTAATGAGTACTGCAGTCTGAGAGAAAGTATGTTTAGAGCAAGGATCCAGTATAGATTCTCTATATTTTTAAACCCATTCATGAATTATTGTTCTTTATGAGGTGTCTTCCCCCCCCCCTTTATTTGCATTCTCTGATTGATGCAATAAGCAAGATAGCTTTCAGTGATAAAATAAATTTTCATTTTCATCATAAACCTTGATAGTTGAATGGGCCATTTCATACCCTCTTAAGATATCTGGCCCAGGTTTAACTACAAATAGGTAATAATGTAGAGTCAACTTCTGCTTTGAGGTATTTTGAATTTTCTCAGAACTCAAAGATTTTGACCTCAGTGGAAGAAATGCATAGAGGAAAAGTATGTCCTGTGAGAAACGAGCGTGCTTTTTATTCAGGTAATGAAAGGAAAGAATACAAATTTTGGAGTTCATAATTTCTGTCCTTAAAACATATTATTTTAAATCAATTAAATATTCCATTTTCTGGTGGTAAGACATGCTGAATATTGACTCTTTAGGGCATTTCAGCTTGTTACCATCACTTACTTGTGCCAGTTGAAGCCAGGGGCAAAGTTCCTCTTATCTTCACTGATGTCACATGAAAGGGGATGCTTAAACATGGCTTAGTAACTGAAAGGCACATGTCCCTACTGAATTTTAAAAGCCATTTCAGAAGGTGGATAAATACAGTTAGCTTATGGCGAGGTCTGTGTGGCTCTCACAGCGGTGCTCATGCTACTTGAAACAGCTAATTTGAAGCTATCTCAGATGTGGTTACGTGATCTCTAATCACATCAGTGATAGCAGACCAGACGTATCATTAGGGGTTTTTTGATGCCTTTTTACACACAAAAATGACAGAAAGTCTTTAAGGTGCCATACCAACTCGTGTAAAATGTTTAACTTTGTATCCTTTCAAATATAAATAGTTAATAGAAACAAGTTAATGATTTGGTAACAAATTCCTAGGAAAATATCCCAAAAAAATGGGATATGCCCGGACATTTATTATTTACAATGATCAGGCAATGGAGGGGGTTTTTTTGGAATAGCAAATGCATGCAGCCCAGAATTTACGCTCATTAAAATATTTAATTTCAAGTATGCATGTGCATTCCAAAAATGTTTGTAGTGATTTTTTTTTTAGTAGGTGGTTTAGCTGGAAGATCAGTATAACTGTATTTGTACAGGAGAAGGTTGAACTGTAGTTTTACATTTGAATTGCTCATCCAGCAAGGTGATGTATAATTAGCTTTTGTAAAATCCATATCAGAAAGATCCCAAATGCCAGCATTTGCAACGTACAGTGCTTGTATCAGGCTTCTCAAATATCTGAGGATATCGTCATATCGGGAGAGTTGTCCCAGTGAGCAGAAAGATTGAGGCAAGCAATTAGTTGTGTATTTCAAGGAAAATAATTTTTATTGGATAGCAATTCAAGACTTTCTTTTTCAGAATATTTGTTTTAGTTAAAAGGTATATAAATTAAGCACTATGAAGGAATCCTACTGACAGAACTGTCACTCAATTAGTATCAATTATGCTGATTCCAGAATAAATCATAAACTTTTCTAGCCATACTTAAGATGACAGTTTTCTGTTGGATTGTTTCCATTCACCTCCAACTTTGGCTTCGGTTATGTGCAGTTCTGGAGACCCTTTTCCTATCAGTATCTGTGACCTGACCCTCTTGAGCTATATTATATCATTCCATTTTGACACCTTTTATCAAACTTTAATGAAATGACCCAGGCAAACAAATTGTCATTAAACTTTCCATCACTTTGTCCCTTGGTATCGTCTTTTATAAATTGGACAGCAAATGTTGTATTGATCTTCTCGTTCTTGCAGCTGAACTTGAAATGACCCAGACTGCTTGTTGTTTATGGCCTAGAGTTGCTTTTCCTTGACATTTCCATCCACAGCATGACATCTCTTTTGTTTTTCTTTCTTTCTTGTGGAGATGAATGAACAAGACATACGGTATCGAGACATCCTCGGTCATGGCAATGGAGGCACAGTCTACAAGTGAGTGTTGAATTTCACTTAAAATTTTTGAGCAGGAAAGATTATAAAAGAAATTCTTAACGCAAACTTTTTAAGAATTCTCTTTACGTATTTACAAGGTATCTGCTTTTGGGTGCCGTGAGGGCTGGTGCATTTTTAGTATGTTTTTAATGCTTAGCTTTGAATCCCTCCTGGGTAACAAGTTAATGGTTCACAAGTGGAACTTGAAATGTCCTGAAGCATAATGAATTGCCTTCGGTATTTGCAATGCCATTATTCTTGCTGGCTCACCACGCCCTTTGCTAGCCCAGTACTGGGAATGACACCAGTGGGATGTGATGACACCATTGCTCTGCCTTTCTCTAGCAATTCAAAACTAGTAAATACCCCTTTCACTGTTGCAGTGACTTCCCTCCCTTACGAGCAGCTTCACACACAGGCTGATGAATATATTAAATGATAAACTCGCCCAAATTTTGGTAGCGAAGCTTATACCCTGCAGCCAGTATTAATTTTAATATTGTAAAGATTATAATGGCAGAGATATAGTTTTCTCGACAGGAAAGTCTTTCTCATGCATAGTGCAAAGTTTAAACTACATAATGTAATATCTGGTACTTAATAGTCTGCAGTGGTGTATGAAAAATATTCCACTAGGAATTAAGAAATCCATACTTTGTAAGAAAGCCCTGAGGGAGTAATAAAGGTTTCCTCCAGAGAGCTATTTACCATATACAGTAACCCAGCATCCCATTATGATTTTGTTTATACCTTAGATATTTTAACTTTGATATTAACAATTTTTTTTAAAATGTTTTAAAAGCTATGGTGCATTTAGTTTAGTTTCTAATTGGCTGCCAACATTGCAAAATGACTGGCTTCGGTCTCCTTGCAGAAGGCTTAATGAAAATGGACTTCCAAAACCTTAAAGGGACAAATCTAGTCTTTGAATGGACTCTTCAGAAATCAGGTTAGCCTTGTAGATGGAACGTAGTTCAGAAATCTCATTGACGTTCTCTTGTAGAAAGATATTCCTAGACCAAGAAACTTGCAGAAACGGTGTTCTTTTCTTACTTTATCATAAGACGGATTTGAGAAGAGCGCGTGTTGAACTTTACAGCTCAGTCACTGACTTCTTGGTGTTTTCTCATTTAGAGAAAGTTGCTTCCCTTCCCTTCCCCGTGTACTCCATCTCATTTAGAGAAAGTTGCTTCCCTTCCCCGTGTACTGATGGAGGCTCCAGGAGTGGATGTAGGTGGGAGAAGCATCGCAAAGGAGGGCCACGTGCTCTGATCCCTGTGGAAGGCACTTGAGACACAGTTAGGGAAAAGGAGTATCCCACAAAGTGAGGGAACAGTGTGTCATTGTTACCCAATTTGGGGTCATTTTCTTTAGAGAAGTAGCTGAAGTAAGGAGCTAGCAATGCAAAATCATGAACTGCCAAAGGCGGCCATACCAGCTCGTACCAAATGTCTCTCCCCTTCATCCTGTGTCTTACAGTGGCCAATGGCCAAAGTCTAAGGGATGTAAACCAAGGCAAGTGAACGTGTGCTTTGCTAATCTTTTGCGCTGAGGATCTGCTGAACTTAATGTCTGTTTGTCAGCTTGCGTCTGCCCTACTCACAAGGGACAGCTCTGTTCCACATCTGCTGTGTGTGCATGGTCCCTACAATGAGACAGTGCTTTTAGATGCGGAAGGCGGTACAAAAACGTCGCATTCTTCTATAATATTGCCACAGGCATAATACGTATTTCACATTATTCTTCTATAATATTGCCACAGGCATAATGCGTATTTCACATCTCATAAAATTCATACAGGAAATTTGGATAAAATGCTATGTAAAGCCAAACTTACACCTTTTGACTTCTTTTTGTATTTCTGAAGGGTAGTATAGTTACGTGCCTGCTTTTTGTTTAATATTTTTACAAAAATGTTTTTCTCTTGTGATGACTACTGCTTTAGTAAGAGTCTGCAGGAGTGATGAAGGAACAGAGATGTGAACACTCAAGGCACAGAGGATAATGGCACAGGAGGGAATGCATAATACTTCTGGCATTTCTTCTATGTTGATTTGCTGCATTGTGTGGGCTGATGTTGTGATCTGCTTCGTTAAGTGGTTGAGCGTTGCATTTGCCTGCAATTTGGGAAAGTAAAAAACTTTACCTGTAAAAACATGAGCCCTCTTCTGTATCGGGGAACTATTTCTACCTTTCTTTTTCCTTTTTATTGCCTTCATATTTTAAATCAGCAGTTGCAGTGACTTCACACTATTTTCTCTAGTGCAAGTGTTATTCTGCACTGCTCCAGGGAATGTGCACCATTTTTACGTGTGGATGCTTTACACGTTCCTGAAGTTTGACTTACTTTGCAATGCAAACAATAGCAGAATATAAATATGAAATATGGTTTTCTCCCAAAACTGGCTTCTAAGCTATGCGTTCCTCTCTCATCTTCCTGAATTTGTTTCTCGGTGCGTTGGATTGAAGAGTTGTACCAATTCACTCTTTCATCCCTGGAGGGCTGCTGGTTGCTGTCGTTGCAGGGAGTTGGCAGTTACCATGCCGTGGTGATGTGCTTTGGACAAAGCACAGAGAACTTCCTACCTTGCAACAATCACCTCTTCGTAAAGGGGGGCCTGTTCTCCCTCGCCAAAGGAGCATCTGTGCTACACAAGCCAATAAGAAATTGCAAAATGGAATACTTACAGGTAGCTGGATTGCAGTAGTCATAGATAGCAGCCCACATATATTTTATTCCAGTAAATCAATGACCATTTGTCAAATAAAATTAATTGCAGGCGTTTGGCTGTTTTCCTCTTCCAGCATTCCATGCTGTCGGTTTGTTTCAGAAGAGGCTGTGTGTAGTATTGATCTGAATCTAAAGAACGAGAGTGTCTATGTGGTATCTCTTTTTCTTTCTTTCTAGCTCTTTATACTAAGTCATATCCATTATGGCAATGATATATTATCAGCATTCAGCAAACAAGATAGCGTGTCGCAGGTCGCTGAGCAAAAATTTTCAGCCTCTCTTTCCATGTGAATTAACTACTATTGAAATAGTTTATTGAGATTGAAGTATTGATCACTTTTCATGCTAACCTTGGCTTAAGGGGGGAGAGGGGAGGTGGTTTTGTTCTCTTTGGAAGACGCTATGTTTAGTTAGAAAATGTATTTCATTTATTTGGGTTCTTTACAGCTGCAACTGTTTTATTGCTTAGAGAAGAGGTATCTTAGCTTTATTTTTATGACAGTATAATTATACTTTAGAAATACACTTGATTACTGTGTGTAGCAAAATTGTTCCAGTATATTGGCTTGGCCAATATTGCTATACAAACAACTTTTCAGTCAATTGAGTCTGGTAAAAAAATCAATACTTTATAGCAATATTTCTAGTGAGAACTTGCTGAATCTAAATGTTTTTGCTGTTCTAAAAGGAAGGGATTTAATAGTTGTTTGACTTCCTATTTTTCTCCTACCTTTTGATACACTATTTTCTTAATTAAGGAATGATAACAATTCCAGAATTAGATACGGCAAAAACAGTTAATTATTCTTGCTTTCTAATTGTATTTTCAAAAATACATGAGAACCTATAAATAATTCCAAACTGTATATTCAAAAAGTATCTTTGAATATACAAACAATCAGAAAGCAAGAATTCTTCCACTGGTGCATAGTGGGCAGCGTGTACCCTGTCTTGAGTAAAGATTGTCAAGTGATGAAATCTGCTGGAACAAAGACTGAAAGCATCCTAGTGTCTTTCTCTTCTGTCTGCCAGTTGGTGTAGGTAGTTTACATCATTAACTGGGATTTCGACTTTCCATGGAGTATTGTAAGTCCAATTGTTTGAATTTTTGGAAGCTCTCAGCTGCCATTGTTTCGTGGAGATTTGCACCTTTCCTGACAAGAGGGCCCTAAGACTGTTACACTGGTGGATGTATGACCTTCCAGCTCTGCAACAGACTCTTATCAACTATTTTACAGAAGCTATAGGTAGGATGGAGAATGTACAGTTCGGGCTGCTTCACAGCAGAAGAAAACACTTATATACCAGTGCATCTATTGTATTTACTTAAATTGCTTTTTTTGGAAAAAATCATTCACTGGTAGTTCCAAAAGACATTTAAAGTATGTGCTTCTGTGCTACATCTTTTAGCTCCATCATTGGCTGCAGAGCTCTGAGAGACTGTTTTGATAAGATTGCTCCTTTTTGCTTCAGTGAAAGAAGGTTAACGTTTTGGTTTGTAATGTGATGTATACACTCTGCCAGCCAGTCTCAGGAGTAGCTACATTAAATTGTTTAGACCAAAAATCCTTAGTTGTGTATATTTTGAACCTAAGGATTACGAAGTAAAGGTATTTATCTCTGGCAAAAAATTGCTCTGTGAAGTCTCTCTCACATGGCATATCTAAAGCATCACGATTTCCTTCCTTTACATACAAGCAAAAATAATATTTTTTTCTCTTATTTCGTGTCTTCTAGTTTTTGCTTTGCGATTGTAGCTAATGAGAAGTGAGATGTTCAAGGAACTTCAGGGGATGGTATAGCCTTTTGTGCCTGTGTGTGTTGGGTTTTTTTTGGTTTTTTTTTTAAATGTGTGTTGTGTATGGTTTGTAAATCTTTGGATTCTGTTAGAGGAGTCTTCGGCGGCAGCAAGCTATACTGCTCTGTATACTGAAATAAACATAAAGGCCCAATGATGCCGTAATTAATTTGTGAAGTTACCTAGTATCTGGGAGAGATGGAAGAAAAGGGAGAATCGGTTATCATCTTAGCAAAATGCTGTTAAACCAGACGGCTTCACTTTAAGTTGAGTAATTGGGAGAGAAGTGGCTGTTGATGGTGTACCACCCAGAAGAATTGTATAGCTAGGGAAAATACGAATAAATACGGAAGCTTAATTTGTTTAGGCAATTTACTTAAGCAATTTTGCTGTTTGGTTGAGTTGTATGTTCTAGCATATGCCTGTTTCCTTATTCTCTATCTCAGCCAACCTTGGGGTGCCCCATTAGCA